CTTTCAATCTGGCTCTCTTCGATTTATTTGTTGTATCTCCAGAAATTCTGTACAGTTTCCAACAAATATAGACGAGCAAATCATTTTGCGAGTTATATTTTGAAATAATCCTCACCATATCAATGATACTATACCGGATGCCACATTGTCTGTATCTGTACAGAAAAACGCATAAATATACATTGGTTCCATGACAATCTTGATTGTATCCATTGTGTAGATTCAATAAATAAACCAAAAGGTATATGACATGTAAACGCATATCAATGAATCTCTAAAATGCGACTTTCAATTGTTTTTTTTTCGTACATTTCTTTAAAATCGCAAGATTTCCTTCCTTTGGTCTTTAACATCTTTTTGTAGATGGAAGATCTAAAGAGATAAGGAAGAATATTGAATCCCATTTTTTTTCTTCTTTTATCATGATAATTTTTTTGTCAAACTGGGGATGAATCCCATAAGAAGTATGGGACATGTTTGGCGAATAGTCATGTAAACTGGAAAATGTATGTGTATTTCTTTTACCAATCACTATAAATTGGCCACATTAGATAGATAAATATATTCGAAATAGACCCAAAGGTTATCTAACATATTTCTAGTAGGAAAATCTGAACGATATAAACACTACTATAAACACATGAAAACAAGTCATTACTAAGGATTATGTAACTCAAATTACTTTATAAATACAGATTTTCAGTGCTTCTAGAATACAAGCATCTGAGTAGGCTCTAATTTTGTACATCCTTGATTCGATTGAGCATAATATCTTAAATAATAGGTATTGGAAACGTACTAATGAATCACTGCTACCGTCTAGTACCATCCTTCTATGCGGCTGAAACTCCCGGATTTACCCTAAATGACGGGGTATAAAAAATTTTAACCCCCAAACAGTATCCTTGTGCCCCATGAATTAAACATAACGTTAATCCTTGTACAAAAACAAACAAACATTGATCTGTATCATTCCATTAGTTGCCACGATAATTTGACAGACAGAAGAGGGTATTATGACATACAAAATAATTTTTCAGTTCATTTATTGCAATTTTTTGTCGAGAGTTTTAAAAAATCTAAGCAAGTTAGAAACAATTTCTCTTCATTGCACTAGTTACACATGTTTTCTCTAGGGTATAAGACATAACATATTTCAAAAAGCTTATTTTTATCTCTTATGTTTATCGTTATGTTCCTGAACTGCGCACGCCTGTCGAACATACAGAAAATCGGGAAAAGGGGTGTTCTACGAAGTAAACTAACTAAAATAGCTGAAAACTAATACATATGGCCAGCTATTTACGTGTGTAGTAATTTATTTATTAATTAGCCACTACTGGTTATGAATATTTAGGTACTATCATCGATAAACTTAAGAAAACAAAAAAAATTGGCAGAACTGTAAGAAATTGCACCAATATACTCTAAGAATATCCGTTATAAAAAGTACAGCTATGTTTGTCTAAACTAACCGGTCACATAAAATTGAACATTGGAAAGGTGCTTACAAAAATCTGACAAGTACAAATTATTTACTGAAATGGTATTCGATTAAATTAACCTCTGGTTGCTCTACTCTGCTCATCTATATAAAATTTACGCCAATGCAAAAAAAAATTATAGGTGTAAACATAACGTATAAACAAATGGCTCAGGAGTAAAGCGCCCTTAAAATATATAATAGATCTTATTATATAAAGTTAATTAATATACTGAAATTTTATTTATAAGTAAACTTTATACATTTGATTTATGCAAGTAGCTACATATTTTACAACACCCTGTACTGAGAATTAACAACTACAATATGCCATTTAGATGTCGATAAAATTTTTACTCTATTTTAAAATTCAACAAATTGTTTTGAAGACATCTTATCAATGAAGTCAAAAGTGTTCTTTTTTTAAAGTGTAATGTTTTATTTTTCAACTATTAATTTACTTAGTTTAAAAAAAAACTGTGCAGATATTTAACTTAAATATTATGCAACTTGTCAATATACATTTTTTTATTCAATTCTCGTCTATTGTAGATATTACTAGCACCTTCGCCATAATATACAATAAATTAACATCTGTCAAAGTAATACCTAAAATGGTTACACATAGGAAATAATATGATATCGTTAATTACACTGATAAAAATATTCATGTGTTATTAATCAGAGGCCAACTTCATTTTGATAAAAAATTTAAAAAGTTTAAAAATGGTCGCTATAAAATAAATTGGGTGAAATTTCAAATAAAATTTTGTCTACTGTGAACTTTTATAGATGTTTAGTTAATTTTCACTCCTGTTTGATTTTTGAAAACTAAATTGGACGTGATGACATCATACCTAGCTTAATTTTTGTCATTTTGGCAACTTTACAAATATTCAGACATCATTTAACTCAACACATACAAAGAATTTGGAAAACTCTTAAAGTTTATTACAATTTAAATCTTTACATATCACGATGACGACACAATAACTTTTGCAAGACATTTTTTTTCGTATACGAATAGATTGAATATACAATCTAATCATTTTAGTTCATCTAATTGGGACTCAAAACACCGACTCTTAGTTATTATAATCACTGCGCTTAACACGATTTTCATGAGAGATAGCCCTATTTGAGTCACTACAAATTTGGAGTTATCTCGACGAGAGATGACCTAGCAAAGGGAATAACAGACAAACGCATATGATGGATGTCCTAGGGAGGACCAACAATGTTGGAAAATACTACTGAATCAGGGATTCGAAAACGTTTTAAGCACAAGTATACTAAATATATTCGTTTTAGTCCAGATGTCATAAATTGATAGAACTGTCTGTAGATTCACTAGTTGCATTCGATCGCTGATAACCACACCAGCAATTTACAGCAAAATATACAAATCTTTTGATAATTATAAATATTTCTTTACTTCTTTAATTTGTTATTCTTTCTGTTATAGTCAGTTCTTGAGATTTTTCTTTCTTTTCTGAGTTTTTTTCACCATATTTTCTCAGATGGTACTGCGATATCAATTATGTAAGTGATGTTTTCAGTTTTTTCCTGAAATGCTATAGTCAAGTACAATTTATAATATTTATTCTCTAATATTGTTCGTGGTGTGTATGAGTCTCTGTCTTCATGCAATTGGTATTGTAATCCTTTTGCTTGGTGTATAATTTTAGCTACTGTATTTGTATAATCAACACTTGCTAATAGTTTGCAACCCGATATAAATGACATTTTTTGCATGTATAGTACAGAACCCTCAGTTTTTGGATATAACTGCCCTTTTTGTAGGGATTTGTATGTTTGTTCTTTGTTCGTGAGTGACATTATTGTAGTGTCTACCATGGAGCTATCTGGATGACCAAGTTTATTTCTTCTGTTCTATTGAATTGACCACGAAAGACTGTTCTGGCGTCGATAGGTTTAGAGGTGTGCAGTTTTTACCTATTTGTACTACAGCCCTGTATAATGGCTGTTATTTATTATGGAAATAGGACCTTAAGGATTTCATCTGTTTGATGAACAGTTCTTGTAGGTTTATTATTCTTTTTCCTTCTTACTTTCTACTTGTAGTCCTCAGTACATCACTCACTGCGTTTTAGTGATACATGCAAGTGCCTAACTTTGCAAATGCCTTCTTTATAACGAGTCCGACAAAAATTATGCAGCGTACGAGTAGTCCGACGCCCCAAAAATGTCAAAATGACGAGATTTGTTTCCTTATACATGCAAGTTTTTTTTTCTTTTTCATTTTGAAAAAAGTATTTATTACAAAAAAATATGCGTCCGAGAAAAACAGCACCGCAAATTAATAAAATATTGATTAAACATTTAAAATACTTTAATCGAACTTTCTTTATAAATAAATTTAATAATTTAAAAAATGTATAAAACATAATAAAAATAAAGTTTCATACTATAATTTAATAATCGAAATTTTATTAAATGCCAATTTTCCTACTACTCCAGTCATGATATGGAAATGTCATCGATATAGTACTTTTTCGTAGAGGGGGCTTAGTACATGATAAAAATATTAAAAAGTACAGCTAATTTAGGTCTATTTTTTTATAAATGTAAAAGCACAATACATATAACAAAATATGATTACTTGATCTTAAATAAACGTATTTCTTAAATAAATAGGCTATTGATAAAAACTAAGAGTATTTATAAAATAATTATTTAAAAAAAGTCATTGTGACTAAGTTTCATTTATGACAATTGTTATAATTTATTATAAAAAAATTGAATGCAAATTTAATTTAATATTTTTGTACTTTTTTTACTATAATAAAGAGTAAATGAAAAATGAAAAAACAGATGCTAGGGTCACAGATAAAATGAGATTTTGTACTTATTGATTAATATTAAATTGCATTTATTTTAGTAAATTATTATTTCAAAAAATGTTAGTTATTTAATACTACGAGATGAACGAATCTAAAAAAATTATCAAAATGTACTATTATTACTAGTATAATTTTTAGTTGATTCAGAGATTAGAATAATATAAATGACCATACTTACCCGTAGTAAAATATTTTTATTGATCAAAGATTAAAATACTAAC